ACAGCCAAATTTTTCTTGTTTAACATCATACTTGTAATACGATGAATAGGAGTGTGATGAGAAAGAGAAAAATCAGAACTAACCAGAATGGGTTTTGTGGAAACCTCATTAGACATGGCGGGACTCATCAGTCATGGTGGGATGTTGAGGCTGAAAAATACACTGCAATACAGTCCAAATAGAACTCAAGACGCCGGAAAAAACTCAACGGCGTATCCAAATAAATTCTACCAAACAAACCCGGTAGCCCACTGAATGAAAAGAACCAGAAAAAGTGCTTAATACATTCAGCACCTAGCACCCAAGAAGAGAAAAGGGGGTGAAACACACCCTAGGGAAGTAACTGAACCAGACCCACTCACATAAGGGTCTGTTCGGCTAGCAAAGAACCCTCAGCAGGTGGTTCTGGGGGCTGCCGAGGGACAAGGATGAAGAAAGAGGGGCTGTCGATGGGCAAGGAGAGGAGAGGAGAGGAGAGGAGGGACTGTCTGTCGGCATATGGGTGAGGGCTAAGAAGAGCTTTCGGCTGAAGGGGATGACCTGCGGGTGGTGGCTGGTGGCTGTTGACAGAGAGGGAGGGAGAAAGGGAGGCTACGGTTTGGGCTTTGATACCAAGAAGAATGAAAATAATTGTATTGGCTTACCTTTGAATGGGGTAGAGCCTTGTATATATAATGAATTCATATTACAAACAAGGAAATAAAACTATCAAGGCACTAAATCCTTGATTCATACAATCACGGATTTTATATATACTACTATAAACAAAATATTCTAATTTCCTAATTCAACGTAATCTAATTTCCTAATTCAACATTCGATTCAAATCTTAATCAATCTATCTGAATCGTTTGTGAATTGAACAATTCATGACTTGGATAGAATCCATTAGTTTTGGTAAGCTTTTAAATGCAACAACCACAAGAACTCTTATTTTCTCTAGTCTTTCCCTCCAAAATAAGCTTCAAAGACCTTTAGGCATAACATATGGTGATACTTGTGTCTTCCCTCTTCTCTCTGCTATGGTAGATTTGTAATAGTGCGTGAATTGAACAATTCACGGTTTGGATACAGTTCATGAGTTTTGGTAGGCTTTCAAATTCAACAACAACCATATCTCCAAAATAAACCTCAAAGATGACATATAGTAATACTTGTGTCTTCTTTCTTTTTTGTGCTATGGTTGATCTACGACCTCTAAAAACTCAAATTTTCTTTATCTAAATAACTCCAAATAAAAAATTTCCTTTTTTACATGTTCCAACATGCAGAGAGATTTTTTTGATATTATTTTCTTAGAAAAGGTTGTTGCTTTGGCCTAGGTATGTGCATTGATACAAGCCATTAAAAAAATAATTTTTGCTTTGTAACTTATATTGGCGCTGTTTGGGAAGTGCCCACAGAGGCTATTATAGCCTAAAAAATTTTTTTAGCCAAAAAGCCACTTTTTCAAGCTTTTTCAATAAAATAAAAAAAATAAAATAAAATAGGACTGCACAGCCGGCAGTGTAGGCAACCTACACTGTCAGCTAGAAAAAATGTTCCATCAATGAACATTTTACGATTTTACCCCTTCATAGCAATTTAAAAAAATATTTTTTTAGGGACAAATTTGTCATTTTAATATCAAACATCATTTCAACACATTTTTTAATACAACAACTCAAATAAAATCCATCTCATCTTCCCAAACACAAAAACTAAAATAGCCTACTAAAATAGTCAAAAAGCCAAATAGCCTACTAAAATAGCCACTTCCCAAATGAGGCCATTGTTGCAAGTCAATACAATACATGGTTTTGCTACAATACAATTTAGGAATGATAATTGTGATCATCGAAATTTGTGTTGTGTAAGTTGCACAACACTAATTAACGGAATTCTAAATGTCTTGAATAGTTAACAACTTCATGAATTAAGAAAAAATAATGGGCAACTATTGTTCCAATATAGAAGAGCTACATTGTCCACATTGAGGGTAATGCTAACAAAAGTGGAAAATCAAACTCAACAATGGTTAAGATATCAAAGCAAGACATGGACACTTGGGGTTTAATTAATGCTTTACTACAAGACCTGTGAAGGTGGACATAATTAACGCCAATAGTATAGGTACAAGGTAAGTGGTTCAAGAAACGACAAAAGGGGGAACATTGAGTAGGGGTGAAATTGTTGGAGTGCAGCTTAGTCAAGACCATAATCCCTTTTAAAGTTGGTGAAACAATTGAGATGTTAGAGAGGCTAATGAAAAGGTTTAACGGACAATTGAAAAGCGCAGCCCACACTTTTCCTTAAAATCCAGGTATTTAAAGAGAGGGAAACTGGAGCCTTATAACAAACACAGATGGGGCAACTCCAGGCGACGTGGGACACATTCCAACACGGGCTAGGTAAATTTCTCAGGCTTTCTTTTGAGGGATTTGAAATTAGGCCATGAGGCTGTTAATGGCAATTGAAGCAATAACGGTGCTAGAGAAGGATTGTGTGGCTGTGAAGCAAAGTAGGAGAAGCAAAACTAGTTGTGAAAGGGAGTCAATGAATTTGTCTAGTCCTATGAATTATGATGATAGAAAAAAAGGGTTGGATTGAAGGAGGTAAATGAGGGGCTTGATGTTGATTGCCCTTGGTAATTGGTTGTCTAAATGCTAGCTTTCTTGTTGCTTTTATGTCCTTTCTAGCCTTCATGAGGTCTGAACTACTGCAATTGCCTTTGTTTATGTTGTTTTGCTTTGTACTTGGCGATGTTATCAAAGGCGTGTTGAGGCATGCACATAAACACACTTGAATCGCCTCAACATCTCTAGGATGAGGCGACTTTAATGAATCGCAATTGCGGTTCTCGAGGCATGTGGGCCGCAAGGGGCAAAGAGGCGTGCTTTTCTTCCGATTGTGCCTAATTTATTAAAAATAGGATATTGATCCATTATTATTTTATATTTTGTGCACATCCTATCAAAGTCTCCCTAATAAGTAGATAGTCTTAACCTTAGACAACAAGTTGAATATAGATACCTAAACTTTTATATTTTGGCTTACATATCATTTTTTGTTTATTTTATTTTTTTTGCCTCTAGGCTGTGACAATGCAGTCTTTAGTGTTCATTGTTAAATGATTTAATTTCTAATCGAAAAAAGGTGATAACCTTTGTATGAAGCTTCTGCTTACAGCAGAGCTTGGTAGACAGGTAGGTAGTTTTCCCACCACTTTATTTTTTTTCGGTGGGAATGCTGATTCCCGTGACTTGGAACCCATGCCATAGCACTGGGAGCAGATAACACTTGCCATTGCTCTTGGTTACAAGCTCTGGGTTGGGCCAATGGATTCCATCTAAATTGCTGTATTTTATTCTATTTTTTTCATTGGACCAAAGCTCAAAATTTTTAACCCCCCTTTAAATTTGTCCTAGGGCTCCTAGCTGAATAATTCTAGAGAAATTATTGAACAGACTTAGATGTCATCTATAAGGTTTTTAACCCCCCTTTAATTAAGTTTTTCTTTTTGCTGCCTCAGCAGTGGGGAGAAGTCTACTGGTTTTTAGGGCCTTTAGGCCTTGTTTGGTATTGTGAGGTATTTAGTTTAGAAGTGATTTTGGGGCCTTTGAACTGCTTTATTGTCTGTTTGATATTTTACAATACTTTGACATTTTGAGTTTTTTTACTTAAAGTTGTTTTGAGCGAAGCAATGAGTATGGTGCTTCAACAACCAAAAAATATTAAACCTATCTAGAAAACTACTCAAAAGCACCTTATTACAAGTCACAACACCACGCCACCAATTGGGGCCTTGGTGTGCTTTCTACCTTGGACAAAAAGGTATTGGTCCACAGAGACATATGCACTTGTGTTAAGAAATTTGTGGTGTTTGCCCTCAATTTGAATGTATATTTTATTTTGGACCCCTCAATAAGAAAATAAGAGACTTTCTAGTGAAGGACCAACCTTTAGGTTGAGGACGTGAAGTCCCAGATCGCCTGGGTACTAAAGCATATAGCTAATTTTTGGGGTTGAGTTTTACTGAAGACCATTTAACATGGTATTATAGTCGAAGTACCAGGGATGGATAGGGTGTGTGTCACTGGCTTGCTTGCCGCAGGTGCTGCCAAGTGAGCATGTTGGGCATGAGGAAGGGTGTGAAGTGAAGTCCCACATCGTCTGGGTACTAAAGTAATGTGAAGTATATAAGCGTGAAGGCATCCCCTCCTCAATAGTTAGCTTTTGGGGTTGAGTTCTACCAGAGACTACGTAACATAGGAAATATTTTGGAGTACATTATTGCTCTCGCTAGAGTACACTACCGCTCTTACTATGTCTCTCTCTCTCTCTATAATTTTTTATATATGTTTCTTGCATTTTCCTTTTCTTGATTTCTTTTTATTTATTTATTTTTTTTGGGAGGGGGAATCTCTCTCCCTCTCCTGGAGGGGATTTTGCTCCACTTGATTTTTGTCAAGGTTAGCAAGCCTTCTCAAATAAATCTAGTAATTTTGCAATTTTTCGATAACTGTTTTGAATATGAGTTGGACCAAATATCAGGAATTTTTGAATTGTAAGAACATGCTCTTAAATTTGAGTAGTACTTGTTTCTGAAAAAACTGCAAACACAAGGATAGGATAAAATGTTCTTTTGTTTACTTATTTTGTGCTGAAGAGGAAGGAGGTTCGAAATTGGTTTGTAAATTTTTGTTCCGAGAATGGTAGGGCTGTAAATGGATATATCCTCAAGCATGGAGTAGCGACAGGTTAAATGATGAAAGTTTCAAAATTAAGCAGTCTTTTAGTTCAAGATTGATATGCTTATTAATAGTCAAAATCTTCACTATTGGGAGATTTTGGATTGGGCCATTTTATTTAGTTCATGAATGTCTTCAAAGGTTTAGTGCAATCATAAGGTGCCCTGTTGCAATGTTATCGTAGGACCATTTTCGGTTACTTTTGGTGGATTACAGTCTGCAGCTTTGAATTGTTTTTTAATTTGAATTAGCTTATTTGCTTCTATTCAGTGAAGTTCGGGTTGAAGGATTGGAGACGCTGGATTATCTTGACAACTTGAAGAATAAGGAGCGATTTACTGAACAAGGGGATGCAATAACTTTTGAATCAGAAGCAAGTCCAGGAAATCATTTACTTGTCCCTGATTCTTGCTATGTTTGTGTACATATGTTTTAATGCTTATGATGTGTTACCTGTGCTATTTAGGTTGACAAAATATACCTCAGCACACCTACGAAGATTGCAATTTTGGATCATGAGAAGAAACGAACATTTGTTATTCGGAAGGATGGCCTTCCAGATGCTGGTGAGAATGACCTTGTCCATCTTTTTTCTTGAAGATGTCAGATTGTGTGTTTAAATTGGGTTTGAGTTCTCTGGTTGGATAGTATTGGTTGAAAGATTTATGTCATGTCATAATTTATCAGCTCATTAATTGCCTAGTTTAATCATTCATTTACGTTGAGGCTAGTCATAGAATTCTCATGATCCATCTAGTGAATATTTTTTTTGCCAAGAGATGACTCTGGATAGTGGAGGGAATACTTCTTCCTTGTGTTCGTATGCTTTGACTGAGTTAGTGAGCTTTACAGATTAGCCAGCTAAATGAAATTTAGAAATTTAGAATACCAGAGAACTTAAATACTGAAGCAATGGAACAAAGTAATGCTCTAGACAATGGTTGCAGCTACATGAAGAATGTATTTATTTATTTAGATTTTTGAGTTCATAAGATCTTTCTTTATATGGGGTGGGGGTGGAATTATGTTCAACTATTTCTTCTTCAGTGGTGTGGAATCCCTGGGATAAGAAGGCGAAAGCCATGGCTGATTTCGGAGATGACGAATATAAGCATATGCTGTGCATGGAGACTGCTGCGGTGGAAAAAGCAATAACACTCAAGCCTGGTGAGGAGTGGAGAGGAAGGCAGGAACTCTCTGCTGTTCCTTCCAGTTATTGCAGTGGGCAGCTTGATCCTCAGAGAGTCCTCCAGAGCAGCTAAAATGTCCATTTTCTGGTCTAAATCCAGTACAGGTACTTTGCCGACTTCATTATTATTATTTTGTTTAATCATCTCAAATATTGGTTTTCTAAATATTTATATTAATCTGTCAAATAAAATTGGGAAGAGAAGATTGCTTATGGGCCCCTTTGAGATAGCTTTTGCTTATGCATAATTGGTTTTCTTTGGATGCCGTGTTCAGAAGTCTTAGTAGTTGTCAAGAGTGACTATCTGACCATTTGGGTTATGGAATGCCAAGTCATTTATCTATTTTATATAATATTTGATTATAAATTAGATACATAAAAATTTCAACCAAATAAGAACCTACTATAAAATATGTATTTTTGTGCTTTTAAATGTGTAAAAATGACTAGATAGGCATATGCCTCGCACATAGATATATATATAGTTGTGTTTGTGTTTATTTTAACATTTATTTGATTCATGGAAGTATATCAGAATATACAAAATAAAACAAAGCAAAAAAATGTTTCATTTGTATGGATGGATTATATAAATATATTGTACAGTTCAAAAATATTTAAGTGGATAATGGATGTTGAGGCTTGATCCCACAGAGCTGTTGAAGGTCAAGTCCTGGTAGCTGCATGCACACGTCTATTTTTCCCATTTTTTTTTAAACTAAAAATGAGAGGCATAATTGGCAGAGATTTCAAACTTGGATAGTAACATTTGGCATGGGTTTCTGCATTGGGACATGTTTAGCAAATGCAATTATGTATTGCCAAACTCAAACACAGAATTGCTTTTGGGCCCAAATGTGTTTTTAAGTGTTTCAAACGTGATTCCCCAAAGGGCTATGTTGTGATCATATTGCTAGGAATTTTAATTTCTCATGAATGATAAAACACAAACTGTGCTTTCACACACATGCATGAGAGAGAGAGAGAGCTACCTATGAAGCACGGACACCTCTCAGGGGGCTACGTATCAGTGTCGGACACGGACACGTTGTGGACACGTGTTTGACACATCCCAGAAGGTGTCCCATTTTTATATATATATATATATATGTTTTTGCCGAGGGACACGTGAGGGACATGTTTCGGACACTGCAGGGTCAAAAACATAATTTCTGAAACTTCAAGTGGGGGTTAATTTGTAAAAAAAAATTGAAGCAGTTAAACCAATTTCTAACCAAGATGTCGAACAGAAAGAAGAGAGGAGACTGAGAGAAGGCTGCTCTTTCCTCTTGCTGTTATTGAAGGTATGTTCTTCGATCATCTATCTTCTTCTTTTGATCTCTCTTAGTCGCTCTCTCTCTTTCTTCTTTGTTCGACATCTCTCTCGGTCACTCTCTCTCTATTTCTTCAACTTTCTTCTTCTTTTTCTTTTTATGCTGAATTAACCTCTTTCTCTCTCTTAGACTTTTTTTTTGGGGGGGGGGTGTCTTTTTCTTTATCTCTATCTCTATCTCTATCTCTATTATTTATTTATATATTTTTTTGGATGATTAGTTTATAAGAACAAATTAGTTTTGTTAATTTTAATGATGTGTTTATTAATTTTATTATAGGAACCATTTTTTAATTCTAAAATATGGCAATGGCTACTACGGGTGGTAGTTCTAATGACATACCTAATGACATATAATAAATAAATTTAATTATATATCTTGAACATGTCCCCAGCGTGTCGTGTCCTCTATTTTTTGAAAATTTATGTGTCCGCGTGTCCGTGTCATGTCATGTGCCCGTGTCCGTGTCCGTGTCTGTGCTTCATAGTTTGGGGCTTTATAAAACCATAGCGTTCTGTAGTAGAGTGGTATACAGAGCGCAAAACTTTCCATGCATGATAATTTGTTCAAAATGAATCTAGGTTCCCTATATTAGAGTGGTGGACAGAGCACATCCCTAACCCTGTGGTTGGGATACACTATCACGACTACACTCAAATATATGAACTTTTCTGATCTGAACAATTTTGCTAAGCACCTAGTTGTAGGCCTTCACAATATTATTTTGACAGGGATGGGTAGTGATTAAATAGGTAAATTGTTTGCGTGACACATGAAGAGGCATGGATTTCTCTTGCTTTGTATTCCTGCATCTCCGAGTGGTTTTCCAGGTTATCTTGTTTGCTGAGGATATGTTTTGATTTCTCGGAAGAGTTGGTTACTGGTTGTTCTGAATATGGTAAATGGTTATGGCCCAAGTGACATGGTTCTCCCCTCTCCTCCTCGATGTTTAGCTTAACCTTTAGGCAATGTTTGTTTAGGTGGAGATAACTTTGAGATTGGATTCATAATCTGGCAAAATGCATAGTCTCACGTTTGGCTAAAAAAATTGGGGTCTGGACTAACGAGAGGTACAGACTAATTAGCTAAGTTGCAAAATTGATAGGATTTTGTCAATCCATCCCCATAATCTTGGGCCAATTCAAACACGGGACAGAATACACAATTCAAATGAATTGATAATTCCATTGATCAACAGTCCTTGGAATGCTAAATGTAATCAGGTCCCTCCAAACAAACATGGCCTAACAGTCCTATAATTACCTGTCTATCCTTCAACTGGTTAATAAAATGCTTCAGTTTGTTTTCACGTGCTCTCTTATTATCTGAAAGGGGTGTGGTACACATGAATTCTCAGAATGATTCGTGTAGTTGTTTGCTATACTTGTTAACTACTGTCCCGACATTAATTTTATAGGTGACCTATTTCTGCAGGGGGCTCGCTATGTTCCAATATGTGATCGGAGCACAACAACGAGCAACATCTTGCTTTGGATTTTTGTCTTGGTTTTTTTTTTTATTTTATTGTAACCCCTCTCCCTTGTCTAATTTTCTGGTACTTGGGTGGAAGGTGGATTCATGAGTAGAGTTGTCAAATAATGTTTCTGTTTTTAATGGTTGGTTGTGTGGTAGCATTGTCAAAGTGGGGAACAAATATATACACATATGCATAGCATGGTTTAAAAAAAATGAAAAAGAAGCTACTGCTGGGAACTTGGGGATTATTTCTGTCTAAAAGGAATGTGGCTCTGAGAGAAGGGCAAGTCTTTTGCATTATTTTTTAGAGCATAGTCTTAAGCTCTGGAAAGCAGACAACAAATATAGCTTTAATGGTTGCATTTTGAGATCTTTGTTCTTAAAAGATATGCTTTGCTTAGCTTAAAAGCAACTTGAGTGGCTAGCTAATGGCAGATTGAGAAAAAGGATTGGTCTATGGTGGTATGCTATAGTGACTGCCAAATTTTTGGCAATGCAAAATCAGTCAGCTCATCCTTCCCAATTGTATTCCCGCCCTTCGCAATTTTCACTAGACAACATTTTTTACATAATATTTAGCAACATGAAAACATTCAATTTTGCAAATCAAAAACAAATTTAACAAGATAGTGGTGAACTCACAAGGCATGGTAATGCTTAGGAGTCGGGACGGATACAGACAAATGCAAAGTTCTTTTGTGCTCGTCCTGCTTAAAGTGAATGAGCGTTAGCTAAGTGTTTAAGCCCATTAAATAACTGAGCTGGGCTTCAGTAGACCTAGCTCAGCCTGAATAAGCTTGCGAGCACAGAAGACTATGAATTCATATTTATTTTTAATAATATATTAAATATAATTTCATTAATTTATTTTAGTTCTTTGATTATATTTGGTGTTGGTATAAATATACGTATTTTGCGCATAGTATTCAATTAAAATGACTAGTATTGAACCAAAAAAAAAAAGAAAAAAAAAAGAAGGGTAAATTGTAGTTACATCCCTTGAGGTTTAGCATAATTAAGCATAATTACAGGAACATTATTTGTGATTTGAAAAATTACTTTGACCTGTCTTACTCATGAAATGAACGCCAAGATCTCTCCTGTTAGATAGACGTTAAAAAAACAAACAAAATATTTACACCTAAATGGTCAAAATACCATTCTCATTCCTTGTAAAACCACTTTCTAATCATTTGCCTTCACATCTCCAACAAACCCTTCTCTCTCTACAAACTCTCTCTTCATTGAATTTTTGAAAATCCTAATGTGATCACTGCAATAAATTAGAATCTAACACCATCTCAATAGAATGACTGTTCTCGTAAATGATGATTTTATTCGTAATATATTTTTATTATATTTTAGTGAATTAAATGTGAAAATGAATGTCATGGTAGAATGATCATTCAATTCTACTTTATTTTAATAAGAGTATTGCTAGAGACCCTAAATATTCTACCAAAAGTTTTACCAAATATCTCACATGGGTGTGGGACCCACATTGTGTGGGTCCCATGTAGGTCCCACACCCATGTGAGACATTTGGTAAAATTTTTGGTAGAATATTTGGGACCTATAGCATTTTTGTTTTAATAAACCAAACATAGTGTAATAGTACACTAAGGTAGTGTTTGGTTCATTGGAATGAAAATGAAATAGAATTGTCATTCTATTAGAATATCCATTCTTATATTTATTAGTTCATTTAAAAAAAAAAAGGGTAAATTACAAATACACCTCTTGAAATTTGTTTAAAGTATAGATTGGCCCTGTTTGGTAGAGCTGTGGGAAAGTACTTATAGCTTATGCCTTAACAGCTTATAGCTTATAACTATGAACATAAACTGATTTCTGACTTATAAATTAAATATCTCCTACCCCACTCAAAGAATAAGCTGATTTCTGACTTACAAAAAGTTATAAGTTGCATTGTTAAGTTAAATCAAACACATCAAAATAGCTTAAATTAAGCTGAAAGCTGAAATAAGCAGCTTTTAAGCTGCACCAAACAGGCACATTGTCCTCTGTGGTTTGAAACATTACAAATACCTCTTTATTAGAATTTTTTATTTAACAGAATTAACAAAAAAAGTGAAATTCATAATTGCTCTCCTATATAATAATAAAATTACCTAAATTATTAATTGAAATATATTTCTAACATTATTAAAAATTATTAATTAACTTGATTATTTATTAATTAAAAGGGTAATTTGTTATGAAATTAAAAACCTTAAGAGGTGATGTAATTTCTAAAATCACATGGGGTGTTCACATTTTAATCAAACTTCAAAAGGTGTATTTATAATTTATCAAAAGAAAAAAAAAATGCATTCAAATGAACATTAAAATACTACATGGAAGCCTTAACACCCTAAGGTGATATCTTCTCTATTTTTCTCTAGGTTTTGTCAGGGCATGGGCACTTCAACTAGTGTATTCAGGGTTATTTGGTCATTTAACCTCCAAAAGTAACACCGTTTGAGTTCAAGTGAGAGGAAGGGAAATCTTGGTATTAGTTTGACAAGTAAAACAAGTTAGTGTAATTTTTCAAACTACAAAGGTCTTTGAAATTATGTAAACCTCATGGGAGTTAAATGTAATTTCCTAAAAAAAAAAATCAATATTGTATAAAAATATTGACTATTAAAATGATTGGCACTTTCCATACTTCATGGGTGTAACATCAACAAATTCACTCATGACCAAGTTACAACCTAAGAACTATGACAATATTATGTTTACTATTTGTATTTCATTCATTCCATCAGTATGTGATCATGGATCTCAATTTCCTACTCTGTTTGTGTCATCTACAGTATGATTAATTTCATATCATTCATTTTCAATTTTCTTTATCAGCTCAAATACCACAAATGTACATTCTGCATGTATAGCATTGCGGAAATGCACAATATTTCAAGTTCAAAATCTATTTTGAATATTTCGTTTTAACTTTTTTTGAATATGTAGAATGATGCATCATGATGATGATGATGGTGTTATTGGTGGCACTTTGTCTCACTTTTTTTCTCTCTACAACAACCTCCTCCAATACTCAGTGTGAGTTCCACCTCAGTCTCATCATCATAGCCATCTTCTTTGCCAATATCAATATGATTATTATTATCTTTATTTTTTAATGCTATAGCTCTATATGTTTTTGAGGCACTCACTACTCCTCCAGTAGTTGAGGAGATATTATCTTCTTCTTCTTCTTCTTCTTCTTCTTGGGCAGGCCTTTCAAGATCAAGATCAAATCCCTTTGGGATTCTTGGAGTCTCCCCACAACAACTACTGCTACTTCTCTCTGTATTGTCTGGCAGTGTTGTCATTACTCTTTGAACATGGAGGTTATTATACTCAGTGCCCCCAGTGGTGGTTGTTGGTTGGTGCCGGTTGATCAAAAGGTTAGAATAGTTGCTACAATTTGAGTCGATCCTTGGAACCCCCCAATACATTTCTTGTTTAATCTTATTATTTCTCATCTCATCCATCAGCATCTTCTGAACACTATACAACCGGTGGAGTTCTCGTACCTGCAATATATCCAGTGTGTTTCAATCATTTTGATTTTTAGTTTTTGATTTTGTCAATTTCGTCTTTAAAATACAAAATGTGTCATTATTTCCTCCCAAACCTAATAATGTTCAAATTAGTGTCCAAAATAAGCATATTTTAGACTTTTCATCTTAATAGTTGAGGAAATTTTGGACATATCAATCTCCTTTCTCTTCCTCTAATCTCCCCACTACAACAAAAATGATCTATTATACTGAAAATTAGAAATATATATATATCAAAATTGTCATTTTATATAATGAATTGGGGAAAGCAAATTTCATTGCATAATGCATCTGATACTAGTGAAGAATTTTTGTCGCATATTTTTATTTTTATTCTAAAAATAGTTCACCAAATTGAAAATAAGCATAATGTTTGGGACTAAATAAAACACATTCTGAATTTTAGATCCTTCATTATATTACAATTTTCCAATGATTTTTCCAATTGATTGCATTCTCTAAAATCTAAGATGAATAATTGACGGAGGCTTCATGGTTTCTGCTTTTAGTGACAATTTTGAAATTGTCGCTAATAAATGTAATTTTATATTTTAGGGACAATAGTTTGGTACCAAAACGGTAGGTTTATTTTTTGAGGAATTTTGTTTTGTTCTAAAAAGATGGTAATTCATTACTAAATGTTTAATTTCGTCGATAAAAATACAATAATGACACTTTTGGCAACTAAAATATTTCATTCCAAAAAAGTGATTTTATCTCTAAAACCTCAATTTGTTGTACGGTTCTCATTCTTTGGTGAATCTCTTTGAGATCATTTGACGACTTCAATCCTTGTGTGCCTCCTAAAGATTTCTTTTGCGTGGCCTTCAATTACTTGGTGGTCGTTACAAGATTCTTGGAGGTATTGGTGAAAGTTATCTATTTTTTGTGGTGAGTTAGAAAGTTGAGTTTTGTTCTTATCTCTCATTCTTTTTTGTTTGTGATTTGGTTGTATTTGTTAGATCATTTGGTGTCTTGTGAGACTTGTTCTTTGGTCTCTATTGGTCACTATTGGTTAAAACTTTGGATTCCAACAAGATTTTGAGAAAATCTGTACATTGGTTTGGTATGCTTCATTATTTGTGAGAATTTGTTTTGTCACTATTATAACTCTTTGGAACAATCGTTCTCATTGTGATAATGAAGTCTTTCTATTTGTCATGGATATAGGCTTAATTAGGTCAAACCATGTGTTTGTGTTTAAGAAGTTTCTCTCTTGAATTTGTATTTGTGTATGCTTTTTTTTGCTCCGTCTTCAAAAAGATTAATTACCTTGGTGTGGTTTAGTTTTTTTTTTGGAACTCTCAGCACAACAAACAATCATTTATGGATGGAGAAATCTATGATGTGTATCCTTAAAAAGGGGCACAACGAAGTTACAATTTTTTGTGATAAAAATTATGAATTTGTGATATGTTATATCGTCTTGTGGTAAAAGTCACGAATGACCAATTTATAATTTGCAATGAAAGGTATACTTAGAAAAATTATCCCATTTTATGAGTTACGTTACAAAATTTTGTGATGTTATTATAGAACATATTCGATATGCACCATTTAAAGATGTACCTAGTAGCATCACCTTTTGTGGAAAAAGGCCCATATCTACGACTCCATAGAAGTTCTAAAACAAGGTATTGAATTGTACACAATTATTTCGTGCATGATTTGTTTTACAAACAATGAGGAGGTGAGATAGAGTTCTTATATTTTGAACATTTTCACAATACCATATCAATAAGACAAACACATACGTTTTATGTTGTAGATTTGTCATGAACACCATTATATTGCGAAGAAATACATCAATGTCAGAAACACATAAATTAAATATAGAATCAGACACAGAAAACACATAAATAGACAAGATTTGTTTTTGAGCTCACTTATAAAAAATCTTCTCTATCCATTTGACAAGTTTTATGTGTTCAGTTTTGTATTTGATTTTTATGTTCCTAAATTTACTGGCCTTTATATAAACCAAATCAATAAAACTAAAAAAAAAAAAAAAAAAAGTAAAAAAAAAGAGAGTAAAAACGAAAATTTGATTGTGTTGTACCTGGTGTTGAAAAATATCTTGGTGTATAAGCATTGTCTTCTTGATAGATTCAATGTTGTGTTGATTGAGCATGATCCTCCTTTCCATTGATGACTCCTCAAAGTTGATGATAACAACAACAACAACAATAGTACTAAAAGAAGTAATTTTTGCGCGGAGTGGTCCCAACAACTCACACCAAAACTATCAACTTTTGTGATTGTACTTCTATCTATTGGATTACTTGTATTTTGGAGTTTGGTTCCCATTCCTGAAATAGTGACAATTGTGTTAAAGAAAAAAAGGTTGCCACTTGTATTCATCAAAAATTTCATTTTTGTCACTTAATGCTGTGTTTAGTTAGGAGATTTGGAGAGGAATTTGAAAAGAAAAAGGGAAAATATGTGTGAAACTAGGTAAAATGTAGGTATATTTTATTCACATTTCACCTAACTTTTTCCTTTTTCTTTTCAAATCTTTCCTCAAATCCTTCAACCAAATACAGCGTAAGTGTAACATTTAACTTTTTAGATTTTAAGATTTCAAGCAAAGTTAACAATATCATTGACCTTAGTGCGGGTGACATGAATTGACATGTAAGAGCATCTCTATCTAAACTTTTACAAATTAGTATGCCAATTTTTTTTAAAAGCTTAGCTGACAAATTAATATATATAAATTTGAAATTTCTAAAAAGGAGTACTTCAACTGATATATCAAATTTATTATTTATTGCTTTTTATTTTTATTTTTTTACCTTAATTTATTTTGAACACTTTTCTAAGCCCCTTACCTTATGATTAAAATAATGAAAACAACATAATTTGGCATTCTCTTTCGATTATGCCAAATTTGGCAATTGTCAACTCAATTTTACACATTCGAATTGAGAAATATTGTTGCCAATTTTCATTGTCAAATGTGTCAACTTAGATTTGGTCATTGTCACAATTCACAAAACATTTGGATAAAAAAGTACAAAAATAATAAATTTAACTAAAAAACACATAATTATTTGTTGTTGTGAACTGTTAAAACAAAATGGACGCTTCGCACAAAAATAAAAAATAAAAAATAAATTTATTGAGAAAATAAATGAATGGGTGTGTGGGAGTTTACTTCCTTTGGATGAAATGCACTACAAAGAAGGTGGAGGGGGGGCAGGGACAAGTTCATGTGTCCACCAAAGACCAATAGACAAACCTGATCTTCTTGACTCACACCCAACTCAACTCAACTTTACCATGAAAAAATGAGAAAATTATAACACAGTGAAAAGTGAAAAAAATATTTATTGAAAGGTGGAAATTGCAACTTTTACCTTGATTTCTCTACCCAAAAGAAAAAAAATTACTTGTAATTATTTTTTGTCATTTACACTGATTTAATGTAATTTTTCCTTTAAAAAACCAAGATTGCAATAAACCTATTGAAAGCAAATCTAAGAATAAGAATAAATTTGAACTCTACTACACTAACACTACAAATCCTTAACCCAAAAAATAATTTGCCTATATCGCATGGTTCCAAGGTCAACTTTTCTGGATCTTGAATTTGTAGAGAGACAAAAAAAAGAAAAAGAAAAAAAAGTAACATAAATGAAATATAAGGTAATCTTTTATTTATGGGTAAATTACATTGATAGTTTTTATATTTTATCTCTTCTGTCATTTTGGTCTTTACAATTTCAATGATCTCAATTTTGACCTTTAAATTTATATTTGGAAAATGCTAGAGATCCCAAATAATCTACCAAATGTTTTACCAAACCTCTCACATGGGTGTGGGACCCACGTGAACCCACAGAGAGATTTGGTAAACCATTTGGTAGATTATTTGGGACCTCTAGCATTACTCTTTATATTTTGTGTTAATTTGATCCAACTGATAATATTTTTAGTGTTTTTGATGAAAAATGATTGAATTGATTCAAGTTAACTTATAAATTTATAATTTTATTCCTAGAAACATGTCATAAGCCACTTATATGCGTATTTTTCATTAAAAAATGCTAACACTTGTATCAATTGGACTGAATGGAGATAAAGTCATAAATTCAAGTTAAAAATCGAGTCAATTAAAATGATAGTGACCAAAATGATACAAAAATTAAAATATAAAGACTGCCAGCATAATTTATCCTTTATTTTTCCTCCGCAGAGTCTTGAAATTCAAGATCCAAAAAAAATTCATATTGTATAAAATGCAGACTATTATATATGTAGATTTCCTACATGTAATAACTTGTGAAGTTGGTTTTTGAAAAAGCAATGGCAATGGGCCATTCCAATTACAAAATTCTTCTACATTGCATTATAATTTCCAAAATCATAATCAAGTAAACAAAATTCTCTCTCCACCCATTAGGCACCATTAAATGTGTAAGTAATGCTCTATAAATAAAAAAAATTAAACAAAAAACAAACACAGAATGATACGACAATCTTGATCTTATAACTTTAATATTGTATTTGGTTGAGAGATTTTGCCAGAAATTTGAAAATAGAAAGGGAAAATGGGTGTGAAACTAAGTGAAATGTAAGTATATTTTATTCTATTTTATCTATATTTTCTCTTTTCCTTTCCAAATTCTTTTCCAATCTTCCAACCAAACACAGCATAAAATAAATCCTATTAAAAATTTTCAAAAATGTATAAATAAAAAAAAATTAAACAAAAAACAAACACAGAATGATACGACAATCTTGATCTTATAACTTTAATATTGTATTTAGTTGGGAGATTTTGCCAGAAATTTGAAAATAGAAAGGGAAAATGGGTGTGAAACTAAGTGAAATGTAAGTATATTTTATTCTATTTTATCTATATTTTCTCTTTTCCTTTCCAAATTCTTTTCCAATCTTCTAACCAAACACAGCGTAAAATAAATCCTATTAAAATTACAAAAATTTTCAAAAATGTCACTATCTCATCATAAATTCTATATAGAACTTTTGCAAAAAATAGAATTTTCCTTAATAGTCTTCCTACCCAAGCAACATTTTCCCAATCCTTTACTTTGAAGTGATAAAGGGTTAGGCTCAAATATTAGGAGACTCACTCTAAACTTAGGCTTGGAATTTTTTTTCTTTCGCCCCATAATTGTTCCCACTTTAAAATCTGATTACTTGTAATGTATGCATATGAATGCAGAGATCACAAAGACAGATAAAAGCAGACAAAATCAAGTTTATGACCCTACTACACTAAAGCTCTAAATTCTCATAAATGTAATTATTAGTCTAGGTGAATTCAGTACCAAAAAATAAAAATAAAATATTAGGATTTGAAGAAGAAGAAGAAGAAGAAGAAGAAGAAGATACCTGTTAAGAAAAGATGTGGGCAGATGGCAATGTTTTCTCATGAGAGTCATTGAAAATCTTGCACCCTCTTATTATCCCAATGCTTTTTTTACCCATAAATAAACTGATCTCATCTCATCTCATCTCATCTCATCTCTTCACTATCAAAACTATAAACTGAGCAAATAATCAAAAACCCAATAATCAACTCAAATGAACAACAACAACATCCACAGCTCATTCATATCATATCATATCATATCATGATCTTTGTGAACAAGGCAGAGAGGGACGGAGATAGATAGAAATGAGATGGGGAGAGAGAACCAGCTACTACTACTGCTGCAATATCTCTTTGATTTTTCCCTACAGTTAGCTCAACTTTCAGATACAACAAAGTACCCTTCTCTTAGAAAATTATCAATCACACCCTCCTTGTTACTAATAATAATAATAATTCATCATTGACAGCCTGTAGAGAGAGAGAGAGAGAGAGAGAGAGAGAGAGAGAGAAATAAAAATAATAAAGAGCTGGAGTAGTAATGTGAATGTGTGAGTTCTTGGGTGAGAGATACAGGAGCTGGTGCTAGCAGTATATGGTAGAGCATGTGTTAAAATATATTTGAAGTCTTTTTTCTTAAAAAATAATAGCACTTTCGTAAATGTATGATTGAGACTGTATTTTTTATAAGTGAAAATCAAGAAATTTGTTGTATAAACCACAAAACCGACTTACACTTTACGAAATTGTAATTATTTTTATTTAAATTTAATTTGTTCTAATATGCATATCAAATTTATGATTTTTTTTAATATTATGTTTTAAAAGTACGGCTTGGCGAGTGAAGTCATGTTCTACGATGCAACTTTAAAATTTGGACAAATTATATTGATATTTTTTATATTTTATTTTATATTATTTTGATCTTTACACTTTCAATTAACTCAATTTTAATCTTTAATTTAGATTTTATGTCAATTTGGCCTAATTTGTTTGTTTGTTTTTTTTTTGATAACCCGGTATTTGAGTTAATTTACACATATCTTGACTAATCCCGAGATACCAATCCTACCACCCACTTGCAGGAGTCCCATTTAAAACCAGGATGAACATCCTATATAGACATGACCCTAAGGAACTTGTTACTACTAATGGATATTGAACCTGAGACCTAGAGGGAACACATCCCTAAATCCCAAGTTTTATGCCAACCCCTTGAGATTCAATTCGGATAAAGTTGTTAGTGCTTTTAATGAATTGAAATTAATTTATTGAGTTAAACAAATTTATAATTTTACTTTGAAAAACATGATACATACCACTTATGTACATATTTTTTTTTATTTTAAAATGCTAATAATTATAAGTAAATGGATTAAATTGAGATAGATTCATAAATTTAGGATCAAAATCAAGTTAATTATAATTATAAGAATCAAAATGATGCAAATGCTAAAATACAGAAACTATCAACGTAATTTGCCCTTAAAATTTTTACAATAAATTAATTAAAATCTATGTTTCCAAAATGCTATTTTAGGCTTAACGCCATGTTCTCAAAACATGATCTCATCTAGATTTTGAGAAAGGGAAATGATTTACGAAACATAATTATTTATTAAAAAAAAAACTCAACTAGAAACAGGTGATGACAATGTTAAAATTATAAGTTGAGTTTATTAGGTCCTCCACTTAGCTTAAATCTGAATCACATTTATTGACTAGAATTCTGAGTAAATTTTTTGAGATTGTAACATTTCTGGTGTATTATATCTGTAGATTAAAAAAATTACAAACACGGTGATACAGTCCCCAACAATAGAATTCAAAACGTAGCTCTATGCACTTTGTAATGAAAAAAAAAAAACATACCATTCCTCCGTAGCTCCATTAGAGCTCTTAGAGCTTTAAAACATTTTTGTATTACAAATTCAAAAAATTTACTTAAAAAATTATAAATAAAGATTGAGAGCTCTAGTGATGTGACAAGGAGTGTGGCCCACATGTAATGTGATGTGTGTGTCTATATTTTTGTTTTGTTTTGATTTTTTTTTCTTCCTCTTACCACATTACTAGAGCTCCTTTTAGAGATTTAAAATTAGAACTCTCTATCATTGTTGAAAAATTATTGAGAAATATCAATACATGATTTAAATTCATTAATAAATATCATAATGGCCTCGTTTAGGAAGTTGACTATTTTAGTAGACTATTTTAGTTTTAGCTATTTTAGTAAGCCAAAATTTTGTGTGTTTGGAAAGATGATTGAATTTTTTTATAATTGGATATGATGTTTGTGAAAAAAAAAAGTAAAATGATTCAACAATACTTGGTAGCCTGAATTTTTATGACCCGAATGGCTCGAATATCTCAAAACGATGTTGTTTTGGATGTAAAACGATATTGTTCTGATACATTCGAACTATTCGGGCCACACAAATTCGAATTATCAAATATTTTTCAAATAATTATAGATTTGATGTGACATTTTATCTTATTAATTATTTTAATTTATTTTATCTTTTTATAAATTTTAACCTTAAAAAAAGTCAAAAATATGTTCACTTACCAAACAGAGCTATACATATTCAATTTCGATTACACATTTTAATTATATGGATACAAATCTAAATTTATAGACTTAAATCTTTGTACATACATTTGTATCAAAGTGTTGTAGTTGAATGTGGAGGAAGATAAGAACGTAGGACCCACAGAGGAGGAAACAGAGGGATATGTTTAATGGGAAGAAATGACACTCCTTTCCCCTCCTCATCCTCAACTGTAAATCAATGTGCATTTATGTATGTAGGCCCCCGGCAAGATAAGTATAGAATATCATAAAATCTTTGAGTGTCAAATTTGTGTCAAGAATGAGAATGGGCGGTGAAAATTAAAAGTGTATATCATAAATTTTATATATAGAATGAACCTAAAAATTATATTAATATTTTCAGTTAAATATCTAAATTTATAATATTACTTAATATATATATGTGTGTGTAAGAGATATGAGATTCTAGTTCCAGACAGATAGGTGATTCTGACCTAACAGCAAGCAGGACATTAACATAGGCACTACATAGGAATAGGGATGGCAACGAGTCGGGGCGGGATCGGGGATCACACTCCCCGTCCTTGATCTCTGATGGTGGAAATTCCCTCGTCTTCGGCTTCGATCCCCGATGGGAAACCTATTACCGTCCTCGTCCTCGCCCCCGTCCCCGAACATTTCTCGGCTCCAAAAAAAAAAAATAAAAAAATAGCCGTAACAGCAACAGCAACAGCAACAGATCAAGATCATTGGAGTCGATGATTTCACCTCCAAAATCAATAGCCCCTCTGTGTGTGTGTGTGCGCGCGCGCGCGCGCTCGTATAAGGGGAAGTTTGGATCATCTCCATCTTCTTTCTTAACCAAAAACCAAAAAACAACAGCAACAACAGTGAGTTCAAAAAAAAAAAAAAAGAAAAAAAAACAACAACAACAACAGCAACAGCTGCGTGATGGAGGAGAATGACGCTGGTGAGAGAGGGAGGAAGAGTCGCGGTGAGAGAGGGGATGAGATACCGCACCGTGACCGTGAGCAAGAGTGGATAACGCCAGTGAGGGAGGAGAACGATGCCAGTGTGTGTGTGTGTGTGTGTGTGAGAGAGAGAGAGAGAGAGAGAGAAGGAGTTGCTGCCGTAAGCTTACGAATTTTGGAAGTTGGCCTTCGGTAATCTTGGATTACTGGCCATCACGGCACCATTCTACGAGGGGCGGAATGGGGTCGTGACAGATTGTTATCAGAGCACAAGTTTCTTATAGTACGTTACTCACACTTTGAGTTCTAAAGAGCATAGGATTTCCCTTAGAATCGATGTTAGGATTGCATCATAATGCTTGCTACTTGACAATGTGTGCATCATCTCGGCGTGAGTATTTGTTAGTTGCATGCATATTATTTGATCGTTTTGTTTTAAAGTCACATTTTGCATACTCTTAGCATAATGAGAAGGGGTAGACCACCAGTTGGCCGAGATCATCCCGAAGATAGATTGGACAGATTAGAGAGATTGGTTGAAGGTTTGGTCCGTGAGTTGAGACAACCTAGGCCACAAGACACTAGTACTACTTCTATCCAGGTCAAGCAGACAAACGGCCGGCATGCAGTTCCACCTCCACCTCCTCCAGCACCGCAAGTGCCTCCACAACAAGCTTTATATGGGGACGGCACCATAGCCCTGATCCGAGAGTTTAAGAAAATGAAACCGCCGAGATTCTCTGGGGGTTATAGAGCCGATGAAAGCCGAAGCGTGGGTCTTGGAAATGGAGAAACTGTTTGAGATTTTTCCCAACACCGACGCCCAGAAGGTGTCATTGGCCGTGTTCACATTAGAGGATGATACACGAAGATTGTGGATGATGACCCGAGAAAGCAACCTAGGTCTGACTTGGGCCAGATTTTTGGAGTTGTTTTACAACAAACACTTTTCCCTTAGCGTTCGAGACTGTAAGACTACAGAATTCCAGACTCTAACACAAGGCAGCAGGACAGTGGCAGAATATGACCGTGCTTTTATCGAGTTGGCGAGATATGCGCCTCACATGGTCGATGATGAATATAGAAAAGCCAAAAAGTTGATGATGAATATAGAAAAGCCAGTACAAGATCGAGTTACTACTTGACGATGTGTGCATCATCTCGGCGTGACTATTTGTTATTTGCATGCATATTATTTGATCGTTTTGTTTTAAAGTCACATTTTGCATACTCTTAGCATCATGAGAAGGGGTAGACCACCAGTTGGCCGAGATCATCCCGAAGACAGATTGGACAGATTAGAGAGATTGGTCGAAGGCTTGGTCCGTGAGTTGAGACAACCTAGGCCGCAAGACACTAGTATTACTTCTACCCAGGTCGAGCAGACAAACGGCGGACATGCAGTTCCACCTCCACCTCCTCCAGCACCGCAAGTGCCTCCACAACAAGCTTTATATGGGGACGGCACCATAGCCCTGATCCGAGAGTTTAAGAAAATGAAACCGCCGAGATTCTCTGGGGGTTATAGAGCCGATGAAAGCCGAAGCGTGGGTCTTGGAAATGGAGAAATTGTTTGAGATTTTTCCCAACACCGACGCCCAGAAGGTGTCATTGGCCGTGTTCACATTAGAGGATAATACACGAAGATTGTGGATGATGACCCGAGAAAGCAACCTAGGTCTGACTTGGGCCAGATTTTTGGAGTTGTTTTACAACAAACACTTTTTCCTTAGCGTTCGAGACCGTAAGACTACAGAATTCCAGACTCTAACACAAGGCAGCAGGACAGTGGCAGAATATGACCGTGCTTTTATCGAGTTGGCGAGATATGCGCCTCACATGGTCGATGATGAATATAGAAAAGCCAGGAAGTTTGAAAGTGGGCTTCGTGGGCCGATACAAGATCGAGTTAACATGCTCAACATGTCAACTTACACCGGAGTATTGGACAAGGCCATCCTTGCAGAGGCTAACTTGAACCGATATC